TCAGCTCTCTCTCTCTCTCTCTCTCTCTCTCTCTCAATTCGACGCCGGTAAAACTCGCTCACCTCGATCGATACAAGGAAGAAAGTTCGTTCTCCGACAGTGAAAGAGATCCTCCATTTTCCTTTTCCTCTGATCTTTATGCTCTGGGGCTCATTTCCCCCCATCAGATAATGAAGAAGGGGATCTGGTTCTTCTCCATTGTAATATGTACTTACTTGTTGCTTCAACAAACCAATGGTCAGACGTTGGAGCAGAGTCACCAAATAGGAAAGATTGAAGGTGAATAATGTTGTTCTCTGATCTTTGATCCTTCCTGTCCGTTCTGTTGACAGTCCCGAGAATTTGATCTGGGATGCTTTTGTGCTGTCGCGTAATTGTTGATTGTGTTCGATGCCTCTGGTTTTGGCTCGTTTGCGAATTTCCACTGCACCATTGCAGGATCGTTTGATTGTAATGGCCATCAGATTCATAGATTTTCTTTGCTTTTAGCAATAAGGAGCATTTGTGCCAGTTTTACGATTTATATGTTATTGGTTCAAGAGACGTGCGACACGGGGTAAAAATATTAATTGTTGTGTTGGGGTTAAATTGAGCTAATTAGCCATTGCAGCTTTCTTAATGTAAGTCGATATTTGTTGACTTTTACACTTTGAAGGATATTGGAAGAAATTTGATGTATGTATTGGTGAATATTTAGATAAAACATTCCTTTCGGAGAATTATTTTAGATACAACTAAGCCAGGTAAACTGTAAAACAGGTGCTTCACTGCAAAATAGTAAAGGTCATATAATTGTAATGAAAGACAAACTCTTGATCATTGTATGCTGATATGATTCCTTTCTTTTTCCTTGTCACGAAATTAACGTTTCTTAAGCTCATATGATCATGGATCTGATATCATGCACAATAAGTGGCCTTTGATCTGCTTTAGTTCCAATGAGCACCTTCTGGTTAATCCTTTCTTGAAACAAGACTCAACTGATCTCCCAGATTTCTCTTTAATTGAAAGTCTAGACAAAAAATAGCCATTACTACCAATGAGCCCTATTGAAAAGAAGTCACCGTCCTTTAGTATGGTTAACGGAATGTGAGGTATCCAATGCTACCAAAGAAAAAGTGCAACAGTGACAGTCTAATCTTGCTGAAGTTTGGATCATGGCACTGCATGAATGATAAATAGGACGATTGCAAAGCAATGAGACTAACATATTCCTGGTCTATTTAGGGTCTTTTGTTATGCATGCTTCTGATGTTCTAGTGGCTCTTTGGGTTTTTAAAATCAGTTCTGGTCAGCACACTAGATTTTAGTTAGAGGAGCAATTTTGAGAAGCATTGGTGGACTTGATGAAGGATTCCAAGTTCTAAAAATAAAGATTCTAGTCGTCTTTGTTGCCTTAAGTGTCTCCTATGATTTACTTATCTAGGAATAGTGTGAAGAATTTATCTTCCATCCTAATAAACTTGCTTGATATTCTCACTTATTCTTCATTTGAATGTGAATTGAGCCTCTCACTTACTGTTCTCACTTAACTATGATTTACTTGTGGTAGAAAAATTCAACAGATTTTGACCCAGTTTTAATCCTGCTCCATTTTTATGTTATAGCATTCATAAACAGATCTTCCTGGGAATAGTTTGTCTTGTGATTCCTGATAACATTGAGTTGGTTAAGTACTTTGTCGGTGTCTTAATTTCATCACCATAGTTGGAAAATAAAATCGAACTCATGTAATCTTTTCTGCATATGCTATTTTAGGCATGATCATGTTATTTAAATTGTGCTTGAATATAATTTGTTATTTTTAAATTATTGTTTATTGGACTGCATGTATATAATGATAAAATGATACTAAATGAACAAAGTCTAATATAAATTGAATTTTTTCATTCGAAACAAAATCCTAGGAACTTCTATGTAGTTTTGCTTGATCATTATGATTATAAGCCATAAGAAGTTGATATCTCCCTTTAATGCATTCTGCCTTTTCAATCCATTATCTTTACATATTTATTTAATGATATTTAACATATCAAACTTGCTGAATTTTTGGTTGCTGTTATTTTGATCCATAACTTAGTATTTCTTTTGTTTGTCTTCTTTCTTTATATACCCCCTACATACTCAACTGAGTTTATGTGCATGGATTGACTTCTATTAGTATCTGAATAGTTCTCATTGTGTCCATCAATGAAATGCAGGGAATACTGGTGATGTGTTAGAGGATGGCCCTGTTGGAAGTTTGAAGGTGTTTGTTTATGAATTGCCTAGCAAATACAATGAGGACCTTGTAGAAAAGGATCCTCGATGCCTCACTCACATGTTTGCTGCAGAGATTTTCATGCATCGTTTCTTGCTGTCAAGTCCTGTTCGGACACTTGATCCTGAGAAAGCTGATTGGTTTTATGTCCCAGTATACTCAACGTGTGACTTGACTAAAAGTGGTCTGCCTTTGCCCTTTAGATCTCCACAAATGGTGAGGAGTGCAATCCAACAAATTGCCTTAAACTGGCCTTACTGGAATAGAACAGAAGGAGCGGATCATTTCTTTGTTGTCCCACATGATTTTGGGGCATGCTTCCATTACCAGGTATTTTGACACCAGGACTCTTATTTCATGTTGCTTAACATAATTAAAGTAAGTGTTTGATCAGGATGGATTGGCTGTGGTGTTGCTCATTTCCCTTTTTTTTAGTTTATCAAATATGATCGAAACCTATCTTAGTTATATTAGCAATGCGACTTTGCCAAGTTTTCGTATATTTGTCACAATCATTTGATCGTATATAGTCCTCTACATTTGATCATTATCTTATTTCTAATGTAGTATATTTTAATGTTTATAGGAAGAGATAGCTATCAAGCACGGAATTATGCCCTTGCTTCAGCGTGCTACATTAATTCAGACATTTGGACAGAAGAACCATGTTTGCTTAAAGGAGGGTTCCATTGTTATTACTCCATATGCCTCTCCACAGAGAATGCAAGCTCATTTGCTTCCACCATATATTCCTCGAACTATCTTTGTTTACTTCCGTGGATTGCTTCATGATGGCATCAACGATCCAGAGGGATGTCACTATGCAAGGTATTTTTTGCTACTGATCTCTTACAGGAAAACCTAGTATATGTAAAAATGTAAATTAAGTACTCAACCTTGTCTCTTCTTTTTTTTGTTATGTTCAACAGAGGTGCTAGAGCATCATTATGGTTAAACTTCAAGAACAATCCTCTCTTTGACATTTCCACTTACCATCCAACAACTTATTATGAAGACATGCAACGGGCAGTTTTCTGTTTGTGCCCCTTGGGTTGGGCACCTTGGAGCCCCAGATTAGTGGAAGCAGTGATCTTTGGCTGCATTCCCGTAATCATAGCAGATGATATTGTGCTTCCTTTTGCAGATGCAATTCCATGGGAGGACATTGCTGTTTTTGTAGCTGAGAATGATATCCCTAAATTGGACAGGATCCTTACTTCGATGCCCATGGAGGTTATACTAAGGAAACAAAACTTGCTCGCAAATCCTTTAATGAAGCAGGCTGTGACATTTTCAGAGCCTGCACAACCTGGGGATGCCTTCCATCAAATACTGAATGGTCTTGCTCGTAAGCTTCCACATGATGGGAGCATTTACCTGAAGCCGGGGGAAAAGATTTTGAACTGGACTGCAGGTCCAGTTGGGGATTTGAATCCTTGGTAGTAGTAATAGTAATAGTAGTAGTAATAATCTGGAATACAAAATTAATTACTCCATCTGCTAGTCTATTTATTTAACTGTTGTACATAAGCTGTTGCTGTTAACATTTCTTTACAGTCATTGGATGCTCAACAGTAACGAACTGCCCTAGCTGTGTAATTTTTTAGTTGATTGACACACATCATTTTCAAACACCACCGAGAGTCTTGCCTTCTGTACCAAGTTTGTAGTTGTTACCTCCTGTTTTACACAAAGCCGTTGCAGAAATTTGCACAATTAGGTACTTCATTAGCAAAAGTCGTAAGTTCACTCCAAACAAAGAGTTAGCATCATTGTATACGTTAAATAAATGCTGATTTCTCATATTACTATATACTGTTGATTAAGATGTTGGGCATATTAATTGTATAAGTTCATTTCTCATTGTTGTATAGGTTCAATAATTGCTCGTTGATGTGACAAGTTTAATAGGAAATTAATTGAGAACTTAGATTAAAAGTCATCATTTAATCAATATATGTTATCTTTTTAACCAAACGTTGATGGCGCCTCATATTTTTATATAGTTAAGATATTTTGCTCAATGTTCTCTCCTTAGAAGTTGAGTCTGATCTTAGCAAGTAATTAAAGTTTGAATGAGAGACAGTGCTTGGGAAAGAACTAATCTTCCTGTGATAAAAATTACAAAGGATCAAAGTAGTAGAAACACTGGACCGCGTCTGTCTCTTAGTTTTCTAAAGGGAGAAACTTTGACGATCTCTTTCGTTTTCCCGCTCCCCTCGAAAGCTCCGTTTCCTTTTCATTCTCTTCCCGATCTGCTACTCCCTCCTCTGTGATGAACCCCCCTTCATGACATTGTCTCCTCACTGGAACAGAGCAACCTATTACTCTCCATCACTTCCAAAATAAGATTTTCACTTCTTAGACCAATTTGTTTAAGAAAACTTCTAATGGCAGTCAGACTCGTTGCTCGAGGAAAGCTCCATCGAATGAGATGACTGGACTCTAAGGAGGTGGCATTTGCTGATGAAGATTGGCAAATCAGTCTCTACAGTAAATTTCTAGATAAGATCGATTTTGTCAAATTATTCCTGCCAAAACTTTATAGCCATCTAACGGGTTATCAAATAGTAGATTTGGCCAAAGGCTTCTTCTATTTTCAATGCCATCTAGTAAAGGCGATAAGTCAAGTCTTTGTTCTAGGTTTGTCCAAAATCAACCAATAACCCAACTGCCTTAGAGATCTAACTTTCAGTCTCTCTTATTGAGAGGATTGATATAATCCCCACTTGGCTCCAACTTCGGGGTTTCCAGAGGAACTATTTTATCCTAACTTCCTTACACAAATTGCTTTATAGATTAGTAAACTTTTCAAAATTGATCAACTCTTTCATGATCCAAGGGCAAGTTTGCTCAGAGTCTATGTTATACTTAACCTCTCCTTACTAGTATCCCAAGATATTAGGATAATTGTTGGGAAGATCTAATTTTGATAATATATTGCTTTTGAGAATCTCCTAAATATATCTTAGATGTGACAAAGTTGATCACTGAACTTCTACTTGTGAGTCTAAAACCCAACCTCCTCATCAATACCCTTCTCAATCGATCACTTAGGGCTAAGTTAAGGTTTCTAACTAAGCATCGAAGGAGCAGGATAAACTTTCTGTATAGCCCTTGAATCTAGGTCCATAGACACTTGAAACGCAAGTCAACTAGAGTTAGTTTGGCTAGTTATGGGAAGGGATCGAGCTAGAAATTGAGCACACTTAAGCCTGCTATTGGGTCTAACTCTTTGGATGTGGTTCAATTGTTGTCTCTATTCCTATGATGGAACCACGCATTGTAATAGCTCGGGAGGCCATACTTTATATGTATATATATCTATATATATATATATGTATATATGCATATGTATATATATATACACACACATATATATGTATAAATATATATATATGTATAAATATATATATATATATATATATTTATATTTATATATATATGTATATTTATATATATATATGTATGTATATATACAAGGTATGCAGTTCCGAATAATACCGCCAGGTATGGGCGGTATGTACCGGTTCATTAGTTGACCGGTACATAGACCGCCCGTTACCGGATGGTATATATATACATACATACATACATATATATATACATATATACATACATATATATATACATATATACATACAT